AACAAAGACAGCAGACCCGTGGTGGAACCTCGCAGCAGTCTGTCCAGGCAGTAGAACAGTGTAGAACCGTTGAGTCGGTATTAAGGTGTCAATAATGATCCGCGGGAGCACGGACATTTCAAGACTCAAGACTCTAGAGCCCCCTACAATCCCTGCCCGGACAAAGCTGACAGGACGAGGATGCTGCGAACCGCAGCGGAGAGGTTTCCACGCAGCAAGCACCCGAATGCCTGGCTGCTTTGCCGCTTAACGTCAACAGAGACAAAGCCTACGACTCAAAGATACTCACTCTGATAGTATTTCAAAACAGGCAGGTCGAACTGCGCGCTGCTCCGGAACCTGTCTGGCCTGACAGCTTTGAGCTTTTGCAGCCCAGTTCGGGTCTGAATGCTCTTACGGCACCCAGGTTCCTCCAGGCACTGGCACGGGTCGTAAGTCAAGGAGCCAGGATCGCATTCGCCGCCTGGCTGCAGCCTTGGCATGTTCGCATGCATTTCAAGGGTGCAAAGTGTCATCTTGCATCACATGCAGCGACCTAATGTAAGTGGGACGGCGTGAAAGTACATGGCCAATTGGGGACTGACAATCACAGTAACGATGCGCGGGAGGAGTAGTGAGGTTTTGTTTCCTTAGCACTCCGAGGCCCTTGCACATCGCAGAAGGAAGCCTGGCAACTTTTAAAATCGAATCCTCGAGCTTGCTGGTGAGGTTCAACTTTGCCGGAGCCACGTTGCATTGCTTGGCTCCTTCTGCCGTGGCCCCTACCGCTTCACACAGGGAAGCAAAAGAAGGAGAGGACAGCTAGAGAGACAGAGAGAGAGAGAGAGAGACAGAGACAGAGACAGAGACAGAGACAGACACGGAGACACGGAGACACGGAGACACGGAGAGACGGAGAGACGGAGAGACGGAGAGACGGAGAGACGGAGAGACGGAGAGACGGAGAGACGGAGAGACGGGGAGGCAGAGACGGAGAGACGGAGAGACGGAGAGACGGAGAGACGGAGAGACGGAGAGACGGAGAGACGGAGAGGGAGGGAGAGAGATAGAGAGAGAGAGAGAGAGAGAGCGAGAGCAAGAGCGAGAGCGAGACCGAGAAAATGAGGAATGAGGGTGAGAGCGAAGGTGAAGGTGAGAGTTGGGTCGAGGGGGGTCATATTGGGCTGGCGGGTTCTGACTGGGTGGCAGCAAGGGGTCAAATTGGGGTCCAAGGGTCCCGAGACTAACCCGCTTTGCAACCAGAACCCCGACTTTACAACCACAGATGCTGCTTTCGGTGTGAGAATCCCCACTTTTCAATAGAACGCCAACTTTGCAACGCGTCTGCTTGTGTGTGTGTGTGTTTGTGTGTCTGTTAGCCTGTCTTTGATGCTATGATTCAGGCCAATTGGAATTCGTCCTAGCTTCCTCATTGTCTGCTAGTATTTTTGAAAGTACTTGTATGGCCATGAAATCTCAAATACAACTTCAAGTGTATATAGTAACATTTAGGGTTCAAGTATTGGTTTTATGTATATATGTATCTGTAGTTGAAACGATGTCCACTCTGGTGAGAATTAAAAGAGTCCGTGCATGAAGCGAGCTGCTGATTGCACTTTAATGTGCTTCATACTCCTAGCCTTGCCTGTGGTGGGTTGGTGGGTTGGTTTTTTACAAAAGCACTTTTGCATTATGTTTTCCTAAACGCAAACACACAAAAGTAAATTTCAAATATCACAATTTTGCCAGTACTTGTGAGGCATATACATATACATTTCGGCTTAAGAACGCCCACATTGCAACCTCATTACTTGCCAACCTGCATGGCTGCTGTAAAGGATGACGCTGGAGATTCCAGGCTTTGACGTTGTCAGTTAATAGGTTTGTTAAGAAGCTTTCGCAACCGGTTGCAAAGTAGAGATTCCGGAAAAGCTTCTGGGTTGTGAAGTGGGGATTCTAGAAAGGATTCTGGTTGTAAAGTGGGGTACACGCTCCAATGGTCAGATTGGGTGCAGGGTGCGGGCAAAGGTAAGGGGGTCAGATTGGGTAAAAATCTTGGTGCAACAACGACCCAGTCGGAATCACTTTGCTCCTGTAAGTTGCACGGAATACATACAGCAAGACGAAGACGGGGAAGATAGAAGATGACACAGTGGCATGTTTTCTTGTCTTGTGAGTGTACAGAGTTGAGAGAGGCCATGTCATGCATGCCAAGATATGCTGGCATAAATTCAGAGAGACTACGGGCAGGCAGCGTGGCCGCAGTACGAAGGTTTCGCTTTGTCTTGCTCTCCTCACCTGCTCTCTCCTCAGCAGCAAGTGCTCGTCAGCCCCCGGCGTCTTGCGGCTTCACAGGAGGAGCAGGGTCATTAGAGAGCAAGCAGCCGCGGGGAGACCTTCTCCGCGATCCCGGCGATGTAGTCGACCACGTCGAGGAAGAGCAGCACGTGAAGCTGGATGTCGATGGCGGCACTTGTGTGTGGAAGAGATGCAAGGCAGCATGCATGCACGCGTGCCAGAGACAGCCACAGCACCCGCGGCATCCTTGTCCTTTTGTTTCTCTTTCACTCTTCCGCGCGCAGTCGCTTGTTGACCGCAGAGCTTGGAACGTCCTCCTCCTGACGCTTGCGCTTTGGCCCAGGCTTTCTTTTTAGGTCAACGAAGCATGAAGGGTCGCTGCGTGCATTTTGTCTTTCTATCTAGCCGCAGGCACGCTTGGCAGGAAGCTCGTCGAAGCTGGCTGTCGAGGGGCACCTGAACATGGGGGCTTGCTGTCAAGGCACACACAAACGCGCACGTGCTGGCTCACAACGGCAGCAAAGGGAGGTGTAGGTAAGGCTAGGCAAATCCGTGCTTGTGCCGCTTGTGCCGAACACCAAATGCTCGCACCCAGCGTGGAGTGTGAAGGAACGGCAAGAGCAAAGATCCGGAACTCCGGGCCCTGTTTTGCGCCAGACGTAGACGATGTCGTGAAAGTGCCGGCTATTGGCAGCAAGAGTAAAGCATAGGCTGTCGGAACTTCTCACGAGGATGCCGGCCTCCAGCAGCAAATCTTCAACCTCCGAGGGATCGGCGTGAAGCAGGTTGAGGCCGCGCTAAGCTGCCGCACGGTCTGGAGCTGGAGAGCTTTCTCCTTCAAGAGTGCGAAGCATGGCGATGATGTGCCCGGTCTCTCGGCGCTGGCACGGGTTGTGCAGCACGAGAGCTGGGTTGGCTTTGTACGCTGCAGCAAACTTCAGGCCAGTGCTTCGACCAGCACGTGCTAGCACATCTCCATGCAAATGCGAGAGGTCAAAGGCTCTGAGTTGGCCCAGTCGTAGTAGTTGCTCCACTTCTTGTAGAGGTTTTCCATTGTCGGCGAGGCTTCCGCCACGTGCCCTTTGCCTCCTATAGCGCCTCGAGCTGTCGTTGCCAGGCAGAATGATCAGACTCCGTGGGCTCGTTGCCTGATCCTGTGCCTGGCCAAATGCCTCCGACGCCGACCCACATGGAGGAGAAAGACGTGGCTCCGCCCGTCACTCTGGAGGGTTTGTGGACCTCGGTCATGTAGTGCCGCACCAACCAATCTGTCAGGGCAGCAAATAATGTTAGGGAAAGGATATAATTCTCAAGCAAACACGCAGGCAGGCGCAAGAAAGCGTGGACATGCGAGTTATAGTACATGGAAAGGTCTACTCTCCAAGCCTAGGCAGAACACATGGAACAAGTGCACCACACACAAGCACTGGCAGCCATGTCTCATGCACGCTCTGGAAACGCGCCTTGAACATCTGGCTCTCCCTCCGCCGTGAGGCGATTGTGGAGGCCACCCCGGCCTCGATCCATCCGGCGTTCTTCTTCACGGTCTCCCGTGCCTGACAAGACAACAGCAGAAGGCTCGGAGGTCTTGCATTGAGATCAGGGGTGTTTGTTGGCTTTGCAGAACTTCGTGCCTGGGTAGTCTGAACTTGACGACACTTGGACTCGAGCGTCTTGAGCTTCTGCTTGAAGTGAAACCAATCGTCGCAGGGCCGGCTCCTGGGAAACCTGTCTGTGCACTCTATGCATTACAGCAAGTCGAAGGGAATAACATGGACTTAAAGGGCATGCTGCCGCTGAGACCCTTGGCAGCCTCTTTGCGACCAGCTTCAATGCCCGGGGCAAAGTCTTTGTGCGTGGGCGATTTGCTTTAAAACTCTCGTTTCATTGCGGAGTTGGCCTACCAGAACCATGGTGGACTCTCTCACGAAAGCAAGCTGTTGACGGTGGTTTGCATCGGCGGTGGCTTCCAAGTGGGCAATGTAGCTGTTGGCCTCAGCATAGATGTGGTCGAGGACGAATTGATGTCGCCTCTCAGCTCTAAGACTCTAAGCTCCAATGCCTGTTGGATCCGGGGGTCATTCAAGAAGATATTCACCTGGTTATTCTCTTGGAGAAGTTGCAGGAAATACTGGTTAGCTGCCGCCTCTGTTCTCTGACCGTGTTGCGGCAACGAAAGGTACGATATCCATTGTAGGAGCAACCTACGCCTGATAACCTGAAGTTTCCCAGGTCAACAGCAAGACACGATTAGATACCGCTAAGTCAACCTTGGCGGACTTTTACCGTACGGGGACTTGAGCCCAAGTGCGCGTCGCGTAAAGCTACTGCTAAGGACATCTAAAAGTAGTGATGGAGGCAGGGTAAAATCTACAGGGAGTCGGAGTGGGAGTGAGTTCGGGAGTGAGAGTGAGACGATAAAGCAAGCAGGCCCCTTCACCTGCCGGGATGTTCAGAAGCGAACACTGCTTGGCTTCCTCGATGCTGAGCTGCCTGGTGTCAAGCCAAGCTGTCGCATGCCACGTTCTTGATGTTCCTGGATGTCTCCGGGTTTCTCTGGGTGTACCACGTGGCGTTGCTGCATTCCATGCACGCGGAGGCCTGGCCGGAGGCAATTCTCACTCACTGACATCTATGTCTATGGCCATCGATGGCAATAGGGCTGGCAGCACAGACGTCTGGTGGTCCGCACATCGTCCCACTGGCCTGTCGAGTCGCGCGGTCTAGACGCCATAAGCCTTGCCCTTTATACCCGCAGCTCGGCTCAATCGCTGCTCAGGTGACGGCATGGTGCACGGCGACTGTGTTGAACTCCCTGCCTCGGGAAGCCAGTCATTGCAGTCAGTCCAATGTCGCAATCTGCGCACACTGCAGTAGGTTCCCGGCCACAGAACCACAGGACCGGCAGCCCAGCTCATCCGTGGCATTCAGGCACTCCTCACATTCGAAAATTCCGGGCGCAAGCATCCTGCACTGAATACAGCAAGCGGCATCAGGCAGAAACCCGGTCACACCTCGACGCCATCGCAGCGCTTTGCACAAACCTCACAGTGCCCAGTTGACATGCCGCCACCATCACCCGGTGCGATCTTGGGCAGCGAGACGGGCGCCACGCTTGTTCGTTGAATCGACTGTAACATCTCACACTCCCAATTCCACCTCAGAGACCACAATGCGAATGTGGGAGGCGAATATGCCACCGCCAGATCTGTACAGTAGCCTTCGAAGCGTAACAGTTCGGCTTCCGGGATAGGGCGCGGGCATTGCAGCGCTGAGTTACAACCACCGCCCCTCGGTGCTTGGGTTCAACATGCTCGGGTCCCAGGGCTGCTTCGACCAAGAACTCATGTCTGGGAGTCTGGGGAGGTGCCCGGGCTCCCAACGAGCGACGAACGACAATTTTGAAGTGCGTCAGCCGAGCCATTCTCATGGACGGTCTGCTTTGAGCACCGGGCACCGGAGGGCCCTGGAAGACGGTAATCGGAAAAATGCCCTCAGTCACGAGTGCTCAAATTTTGTTGCTCTAGCTTTGGGTTATGCAAACCTGTTTCGATCTACGCTCAACTTGCCCTGTACAACGCCCTGTGCTTTTTGCTAGGACTCACATGGTTGTGTGGTTCTTGCATCTCACCAGGTACCGGACGAGCTCACGCTGCGATTGCAGCCAGGTCTCTGCCAAAGCAGCCTCGGCCCAGCCGGACTCAGAAGTGAGAAGAAAGTATGCAAATAGGTAGGTCTGTCTGTATCTCGGCATGCATGCATGCATGTCTGTCTGTATGTCTGTCTGCCTGTCTGCCTGTCTGCCTGGCTGTCTGGCTGTCTGGCTGTGTGTGTGTGTGTGTGCATGTATATATATATATATATATACATATATATATATATATGATGTGTGCATGCATGCATGCGTGCATATACGCATCTTGTTTAGCTCTGCATCTACGTATCCATGTGTCTATGTGTGTATACAGAGATCTTTACCGTTTTTTCCTGCCGCGTCTTTCTTCCTTCCGGCTTGTATTCTCATGGGAATAGACGGCGGGGTAGCCGTCGTTCGCGCGCAGCTTGTTCCGGAGTGCCGCACTCGTGCTGCCTTGCTGCAGATGAAACTCATCCGCAGCCGTGCCCGCGGCCAAGGTTGAGTTGGCTCGCGACGCGAGCTTAGCTGCATCGACTACGGGTGCAAGCGCGGGGCCCGGATTCATGTTGCCGAACCACGGGTGGGCGGCGCCTCAGTCCTGCCCACCCGGGCCGTTGGCCGCCTACGAACAGCCCGTTGTCAAGCCGAAACCGTAAGCCCGTCACATCCTGGCCTCCACCACGAATAGGGGGGTGCAAATTATGTAGATGTATGTGCGTGAATACATCCACATATATATATATATATATATATATATATGTATATGTATATGTATCTGTATATATATATATATACACATACGTAGAGGCAAACATACATAGCATGTGCGAAAACACTAAACATGTTGTACTTAGTAGACTTAGCAGACATAGTGAATACGATATACATAAAATTTCACAATGCGAATAAGCATGACACGCTAAATGCAGACAAAGTTTACACAAAAAGGTAGCAGCCGCAAACTTCAAGGTCCTCACCAAGGAAGGGTTTGACTGGCGCGTGTCGAAGATGTCGCTGAAGCCACCTCGGCAGGGCGGATCTTCTGAAATCCTGAAGATGCAGTTGCGTCCAAGACCCGGGCACGTCAGAGCAGCCAGCTGGTCACCATCTTGCGAGCAGATACGCAGGTCCGTCTCCCATGTGATAACCTGCACGGCACTGCGGCACTGCGGCACTGCACAGAGGCGACGGTTCAGGACGGGTGTCGTGAGCTAGTCACAGCCTCGCCGGGCTCTGGAAGCGGCAGCAGGTCAACACCAAGAGCCGGAGCCTCCCCGTGGCAAGGAGAATCCGAGGCTCCGATCCCGCCGTTCGTCAATTCTTAAGGTCCAATGATGCCCAAACGTGCCACTCGATCATACAATTGATGCAATATGCATTAACCTGTGTGCCAGCCATGCGCCTGGCAGTCGCAGGTGTCACTGGCACAGGGGCATCCACAAGTCTCTGCACCTCACGATTTATCGCAGCACGGCCGCATTCGTCGAAGATGCTTTGCTACCAAGATCACGATGGCTGGGTGCCTGACATAAGCAGCGGTAGTCTTGCGGCACGTTGTCGCAGAAGGGGACTCCCAAAAGACCCATGCGAGCAAAGTCCTCTCACTACCAAAAACTGAATGTGTGGTTGAAAGAATGGTTCTGAGACTTCGCATCCAAGGTATCCTTGCATGAAGTCAAAATTCGCGTTGCCGGCCTCAGGCTGAAACCAGCCGAGGCAAGACTGCACGCGGACACTAAAAACACACGTCCGAATACTTGCCATGCTAAGCTGCTATTCTGTTCTCTTCATCGAATCACTTGGCATATCCCAATCAAATACAGGAACGGCACAAGCTCTTGCAGGCGGAATCTATTGGTAACAAAAGGTCGTTGCTAAACTGAACCATTCTTGTGCCGTGGACTAGGACTCGCGACTTGCAAGTGACGGACCACGAGCAGCAAGCAGCTACCAAGGTCCAACAGGAATTACAACTACGGGCTTGTTGAGCAGCTTGTCAAAAACTGTGTGCGCAATTAGTGGACTCAATCCTCCGCCCATTTGGCTCCAGGCCCAGACAAGCCCAGCCACTGCAGGAGTTGCGGAACAGCATCCGGCGAGTCTCCACCTTTGACGGCAGCAGCTTCCACGAAACTGAGCGTCTGGAACATTAGCTACTGGTTGGTTGAGTACGTCATCCTCGCTGCTTAACCACAGCTGTCGCGGCCATCTGCGGTTGTTGCATAGTATAAATGAACAGCTGCCTCTCAAGACGTGTACTGGGACTCAGGCAACCAGGTCCGAGCACCTGAGGCGATGAGCGGCTGAGTCTATCATCTCGTGCCCGTCGTGCCCTCTCCACCACTGAGCACAAGACTGGTGGAGGGAGACTCTCCAGGGGCGGCTGCACCTCAAGAGCGGAAGCCACAGCCCTTGAGGCCGGGAAGCGAGAACACGAGGTCGGCGCAGAGAAGACGTAGGGCTGACGTACGCCTCGGCTCGGGGGTGAGTGTATCGGGGGTGAGTGTACCAGCAAAGATGACTGGGCATCACTACGCATTCGCGAGCTCCGGGCTTGAAGTGTCGGACAGGGTCATGGGATTCAGGCCCAAAGCCTGGAGCTCTGCAATGGACCCAAACCCTACTTTGGAACTTTTGAAAGTGATGGTGGCGTTGGTGATCGTTTGTGGCCAGTAGTAGCAGTAGCAGCAGTCGAGGCAGCAGTTCAGAAACAGTAGCAGTAGCGGCAGCAGTAGGAGGAGCAGGCGAAGTACAAGCAGCAGCAGCAGCAGCGCTGGTGCGACTCCTGCATACACTCCAGATCCTGCATCTACGAGCAGCATGTCACCTCAACAATCTGTGCCAGGCACGGATGCGAGGGATGTTTTCAGCAGCGTCTGGATCGCCGTAGCCCCAGCCAACCTGAAAAGATCAGCAAGCTTACAGCAGGATATAGTTTGTAGTTCACTTTGCAACAATATAGTGTACTATACTTCAACGTTGCGGTGAGATTGCTGGGTTCGCCAGAGCACCAAGGCCGTGGCGACGAAGCTTTGGTCTGGTAGCGAATGGTGTACGTTATCAAGCTCAGATTGTAACTGCCTGACAGCAGCTGCTGGACTCTCTTCTACTCTACCCGTGGATCAAGTTCTAGCAAGTCTGAAAACCCAAGTCTGCCACGAACCAAAATGAAGCACCGAAATGCCCTGCGCCAGCATATTCGCAAAACAGAGCCCGGCACCTGCAGAGACCCAGGGGCAAGCTGCAGTAAGCTTCCTGACCGATCACAGCGACGCTTGACGGATCACACAGAGTGGAGAGGAGCTGTGTTCGCAGAACTCATTTCGCAGGATATGCGTAGAATCTAGCATCATGCAAGTCAAATCTCGGGAATACGGAGGTGTGCTCCTGCTACCTGATGGGTCCTCATCTCCCGTATACTCCCGTCAAGTTTGACCGCTATGGCTTCAGATGAGCCGTCTTGAACCTGGAACGGTCGAGAAATAGAGTGATTGAATGATGATTGCTCTTCAGCCTTTCTTTTGGATACAGCAATTTAGGGGGTCAAGCGAGCAACGACCTAAACCCTAAACCCTAAACCCGTGAGACTGTGAGCACCTACCTTGTTGCACCTATCTTGTTCCGTTGACTCAAATGTGACTCGCAAAACTATCCTAATTGCAAGTGTTCGCTCACGCTTGCAAGATCCGCTGCGCTGCGCTGTTGCCATGATATGCCGAAGCTCAAGCGATACAGGGAGTGGTACCACCAATGAAAAAAAAGGGTTTCTCCGCGTGCCTGGAAGTGTCCGTGCTTGGTAACCTTATCTGAAGGCTGGAGGAATTGGGGTCTTGAAGGTTCGGGAGGCTGCATCCGATAGCAGAGCCGGCACGAGTTTTCATGCCAGACGCGTCTGGCACCCTAAATTCAAACCTCGAAACCCTCAACCCTCAACCGTATACTACACATTCATCCTAGAACCTATAACCCTAAACTCCCAAACCCTTCACAATCTGTGGCCAAAATAGGTGAACTTTTCGACTCCAAGGCGCAGCGGAGCTTCGGCCCGCGTCTCCTCCAACCAGTGAAATCTGAAGCCCTGAAGGAATCATATTATAACATACTATCCTACACTCTAAAACAACCTAATGTATTAAGTATATACTACAGCACCATAAGATACCATGTAAATAGTACCATACAATATCATGTCATGTAGCATAAGATGAAATTTCCCATACGGTAACATAAGACAACATATCATTAAATGCTACAACATACTATAATATATGATGATGTACTTTGATGTAACCTACCAAAGAACAATAAAGGATGACATATGGTATAGCATAATATAACAAAGTATGATATGACGTAATATAGCTATAGCATAACTATAATATCATTTGAGACCATGTAATATAGCAAAGTGTCCGAAATGGCATAATATTGTGAAAGATGGCACAATGTAACATAACAGTAATCATGCCTAGTATGGTACAATCGAATCCAAGATGGTGTTACGTTGTGCAAAATGGTATTGTAGAACATGGTTTATAGTCTAATGCACTATAAAGCCAACAATCAAGCTTGTACTACTTAGTAAAACGGACTCAAAGCGCCCAAAAGTCCTCCTGCGCGTCTTCGCTCCAGTGGTGCATCGGATCTTCGCTCTCCAAACGTCGGCTGGCCTTACGTATGCATGGATGGCCGCGGATCCGTCCTCCCTGTGCACGCAGCCGTAACCACGAAGTCTCCTGTGGAGAACTGAGCCCCAGACAGAGCAGCCACGGCCTTCGTGGCAAGTCTTCTGCGCATACTCCAGGTTGATGGCCTCCTGGGTGATCCGACTGAAACCAAGCGCGCATGATCAACATGGACCCAGCAGACAAACAGACGGAATTGAGTTAGAACCCGAAGCGGAAGTCCTGTGCTTAGCTTATGGCAGGTCTCACCCTGCCAGGCTCAAGTGTCTGCTGCTGGCGTTTTTTTGCCGTTCCTCCTCCTTCTGACAAGAAGAATTATGAACACAACCCTCAGTACCACAAATCTGCTCGTCTGAATCAAGATGTGCCCCACCACCCCCGGGCGACCACCATCTTGAAAACCGGGATCATCATCTTATGATGACGATGATGATGGTGATGGTGATGATGCTGAGGAAAATGATGGTGATGATGACGGTGATCATGATAGTACGAAGGGGTCTGCTGATAAGCGCAAGGGGAAGGCCGAATTGAGACCATAGCCACGACTGCTTCCTACTTTTCCTCCTACTATCCATTAACATTCCCGAAACCTTCCTATGGAATCGTCGCAGTGCCCCGACTACAATTACTAAACCCTAAACTGCCTACACTAGCATTCATATCGAAACACTAAATCTCTAGGACCCTAGGACATCGATCTAAAACAAAAGCCGGCCAAGCCCATGACCCAGCAGCTCGAAGACCTCCAATCGCTGATGCACCTCAGCGTGGACTTCTAATGATTCTAATGACCTACCTCTTTCCGCCCTCCGTCTGTCTGTTTGATGAAACTGCTTTGGGGGCTACTGGAATTCATCTGATGACGAAAAGCTGCATTCTGGTTCCTGTTGTGTCATCCTCCAGGCGTGACGTGCGTCATGGAGTCATATCTCATCCGCGCGGTCAGTGATTTTCTCAAGCCTGTTCCGAAAGCAATAAAAACCAAGCCGGACGTTTTGGCAAACTCCGAGAGAGAGTCCAGTCTGCCTTGAGAAGGCTTTTTTGGCTGAGTCGAGAGGGCTGAACAGCCAAGCTTGCCTGAGTAGGATGCAACAAAAAGTTGGAGCTGGAACCGAATCTCTGCAGGTTCGTTGCTGCGTCCGGTTCCTGATTGTGAACCATTCCGAAGAAGGTGTGATGAAAATACCAACAACAGTAGGACCAAAAGCAATGGTAATGACAGCCATACTACTAGCACGCCTGGCAACAACAAGAGCGAATAAATTCTGCAGAACTGCTCTTGACAGTCAGAAACCGAGGTCGCGACATGCTTCCTCCAGCGAGGTTTCGATCACCCACGGCCTGTAGCCCAGCATCCCGGCCTGAGACGAACGAAAAAATTACGGCCAAAACTGGCACGGAGGAACTAGAAGCGTAACATCGCCGCATCGAAATGTATGAGCACAAGACTATCCTGACACTCAACGAAAGCACAAATCAGTGTGCTGAGATATATATATATATATATGTATATATACAAACACATACCCCCACATGGAACACACAGACACCCACATGTATACTCAAACACGGACACACAGATACAAGTGCAGTAGCAGATGCAGATACAGGCGCAGCTGCAGATACAGATACACATACACGCACAACCACATATGCATACACATACATAAATGAATATTTACATACATACATACATACATACATACATGCATGCATGCATGCATGCATGCATGCGTGCACATATACATGTAGCCCCGCATACATGCACACACGTACGTGCGTCCCTGCATACATGCACACACACACACACACCTGCACACTGCGAAAGTACACTAGTCCAGAATGCGCACCAAACTACCCTAAAGTAATTCCGTGCACAAGCTCACACGACTGAGACC